GGGCCTGGTCAGGTAAGGGAGCAGACATAATGGTTTTAATGACTACAGATGCCAGGCTCCTGGACCTTGCAATTGCCTCAATCTAGAGTTCACCTGGCTCCTTCGCTGCTCAGGGGATGTGCGTTCTACAGCATGGATCCTTTGTGAATTATCTTACTCTCTACAGAGATTTTGGTTTTGTTCAGTGAAGCAGAATTATCTTGAAACCTTTTTAAACAGATCCAAAATTACTAGAATCCCTAGACCTTTTCCCCTTCCCCATCTTTGCTAAAGCTAAAACTGTACTCCCCAGAGACTCTAAAATTTAATCCAAGGAGAGCAGGAACTATTACAAGGCTGTTGGTTTTAAAATCATTTCCAAAGCCACCAAAAAAAAAAAAAAAAAAAAAAAGAGGAGAAGGAGGAGGAAGAAAGGTTTAATTCATCAGCCTTTTTGATGAAGAAAAATGTGGATTCATTCGATGAACATTTATTGACAAGGTTCAGTTTCTTTGTGTGTGGAATACTGTGCCAGGTGATAAAAATACATCTTGAGACCAGTGAATTAAAAGCCTGGGTTGAATGATTCTTCAAGGCATAAGGGATCATGACTGCCAGAATTTGAAAAATGGCTGGAGATTGCAGTCAAAGGGAACCCTGAACGAAGAACTTTTCTTTCCAAAGCAAAAATGTGAAGGAACACAGCTACTCATGAGGCTCAGGCAAAAAATTGCAAGTTCAAGGCCACACTGGGCAACTTAAAAGAAGACTCTGTCTCAAAAATAAAGTAAAAAGAGCTGGGGGTATAGCACAGTGGTAGAGCACTCATGTGTGAGGCCCTGGGTTCAGTCCCCAGGACTTCCTCACCCTTCACAACTTTTTTTTTTTTTTTAAAGGAACAGTCACATTACTGACAATGTAACATCTCCAGGGTTTGGAATCCTCACTAACCCTGGCAAATACCCTGATAGATGAAACTGTCAGAAAAGTTACAGCTCCACAGTGCATTCGTTGTACCCAGAAGGAGCCACTCAGGGCCTAGGTTTAAGGGTTGGCTCCTCTGAACTGCCTGGACCTGAAAACAGGACTTTATTTGCTGAACTCGGGAGAGTGGGCAAGTTAATTTCTAATATAAATTTAATCAGAACAAAACAGCCAAGGGGTGCTGATAATGAAATGAGTGCTTACTCCCTTGGATCCCTGGAACTAAGTGATTTGTATCTCTAATGTCACTTAGTCCTCTGGGCAACTTTAGGCAATACAGGTGGTATCCATACTTCACTTAGAGTTCTAATTAGCTTTCCAGGCCCTGTGTTTCTTCCTTTACCTGTGAAGACAGCCTGTCCTATAAAGTGACTTCTATTGATTGCTGATTCACTTATTTTGTGTACCAGTTTGTCTCGAGAGATTTGCATCATTTCCATTAACTGGGGGCATTTCATTAATGTCCATTAACTGGGTAGAATCCCTGAAGAATACGCTACTTTTTCACTCTAGAAATTGGAACCATTTGAGTAGAGATACAGGGTTGGAGAGATGTGGGCCTTTCTCTGCCAGAAACGGTAATTTCAAGCACCATCTCACTAAGCTTCTTGGTAGCTCTATTGACATGTGGACACCTCACAAATCTGATTGAACTAGTATATGCCCAGCTGAGCTGTGCTCTGAGCCAGGCCCTATGTTGCACTAAGAATCCTGACAGGAATCAGACCTGGTGCCTGTGCCTGGTAGAAGGAACAGAAGGTACAGGTAAATAAAACAGAAGGCCCTAGTGTGACCAAGGCACAGTGTGCTAGAGGAGTGTGGGGGAGGAGAAATGAATTGCAAATGGGACTCTCCAGGAATGCCTAGTGGAGGCTGGATTTAAGTTGGGCCTTTCAGCCCTGCCTAACTATTCATTGGGAAACACTGGATGGAAAAGTTTTTTAAGCAAAGGATCCATTTTAGCAAAGTTATAAGGTAGGAAAGTACATAGAGTATCTGGGAAATTTAAGGATGACTTCATGAGGACAAGGTCAGAGATTAAAATATTTTCTGACAAGTCACCTTACATTCATCCAATATGAGAAATTCTCACACTCCATAAAAAACAGTGATCATTTTTTGTTTCCCATTATTGCCATCATGTAAATGATTAGTGCCTTATGTTGAGCAGAATATTATTACATGTCTACTACTAGACTATCACATTTATTTCTCAGCGAATCCTGCAAATTAGGACTTAATCTCACTTTACAGATGAGTATACATAAAGGATAAGTAGAATTTAAAGTGATGGTAGCCCAGGATTAATGCCAAAGCTATTGTTTTTTCTACTACACCCCAGCGCCTCCCACAAGTACTTCGGCACTAAGTACAATCACAATGGTCACACACTTCACTTTTGAAAATTATGTTTGCTTTTAAAAGAAAATAAAGGAAACAATTTTTTGTATATTGCCTTAAACATTCATTATACCTGTGAATTCTTGGACATACCTACAAAATCATATATATTATGTTTGACAGGCCATATAAAAAATTTCAGGGGTCTGGGGTTGTGGCTCAGTGGTAGAGCACTTGCCGGGCATGTGTGAGGTCCTGGGTTCAAATCTCAGCACCACATATAAATAAATAAAATAAAGGTTCTTCTGCAACTAAAGTTACAAAAAAAAAAAAAAAGAATTTCAGGACATGGATGTAGCTCAGTGGTAGTGTAGCACACTTGCCTAGTGGATACAAGACCCCAGGGTTCAATCCTAGTACTAAAAAAATAAAAAATCAAATGCATGAATTCAATAACTAGCACCCCCATTCCCCTTCCATAAAAAAGAATTTCAAGACTTAATTTTACTCATACAAGTATTATTTTCATCTTTACATGACTTTAGAATCTAACATGCAAACAAAATGAAACTATTGTAAAATTCCTGTCCTTGTTTTTGCCTTGATATAGTTGCTATAATTACAGGGAAAGAGACATGCACCTTAGCCTCCCCCTTCCACTCAGAGTTACTATAGCATCTTGCAGCTGTGGAAAATATCCTGAGTACAGTTCTCAAAAAGGCCTCCTTGGCCCTAATTTCTCTAAATACCATCAACTTTCCACCTTTTCATGAGATACTTAGCATCAATAGGTCCATTTTGCGGCGTAACACTGAACAACTGCCTTTCTCTTTTAGAAGTTCCTTTGGCAGAGTCTATTTAGGCAGTATCTTTTATGAATTCCACATGTAAAATTTCTGTCTCTGGTATTCCTCCCAATTCCATGTATTTCCCTAAATGTTTCATTATATTCCTGGTACTACTGTTTGAATTCTTTCTTTTTTGAGAAACCACAGACACAGGTTAGTGTAATTGTAACAGATTTAAGGATACCCTGATGCCAACTCATAGGCAGTTTTATTAGAGACAGATGATGGCATTTGTTTCATTGGTAGGATGAGGGTGATGCCCTCTGCAAACACAATACTTAGTGGAGGGTAAGTTTGGAAAGTATATTTGTTATTTTTTCTGTTACAAACCACCCCAAGACCTAATGGCTTAAAATAACACTTATTTCTCCTGAGTCTACTGCCTGCCTGGGTGTTTCTGCTGATATGGACAGGTCTGGCTGATCTTAGCTGGGCTTGCTCACATATATCTGATCAGTTGGCTGATTAGCCAGCAAGACTGTTTTCTCTACACTTCATACATCTCTGCAGCCACTCTCACATCCTAGGCAACCAGCCTGGTAATGCCTTGGAGTGTGGCAGAGATGCATGAGTAAGCAAGCCTAGCAATGCAAGGAAACAAGGAGAAACACGTACACACTTATGCTGACAGCATCTTTGCTAACATACCATTGGCCAAAGAAAGTGACATGGCCATGCCCATGGGAGGGGACTACAAAGTTACAGGATATAGAAAAGCTATTAATCAGGGCCAAAATGCAATTAGTCTTTCAGTTAGGTCCCCTATATGTGAAACTTTCAGACTTAGATTACTTGATCAAGTTTTTCTAGAAGGGGAATAAAAAGGCCAAGTAATGGTTGTGTATTGGGCCTATGGGCCTGCACAGGGCTAGACACTTTACCTGCTTTTGCAACAACCCTCACAACAATTCTGCAAGGTAGGTAGGAATTGAAGTTCAGAGAAGTTAAATAACTTGCTCGAGGTCATCCTCCTAGTGGGCAGGAATTAGAATGCATGTCCATCTGACCCCAAAATCCAGGTTCTATATATCATCATCACTGCCTCTCAAGAGTACCATGGTTGAGCCAGGCAAAGTGCACATTCCTGTAATCCCAGCAGCTCAGGAGGCTGGTGCAGGAGGATCAAAGTCAGCCTCAGCAACTTAGTGAGACCCTGTCTCAAAATAAAAAATAAAAAGGACTAGGGATGTGGCTCAGTGGTTATGTGTCCCTGGGTTCAATCCCTGGTACTGCCCCCCAAAAAGGAAGTAAGTTCCAGGGTCTGCCTTAACCTCCCTGCCAACATAAATTTTAAGTTGAGTTGATGCTTTCTGACAAGTTCCACAAACCCCTTCTCTAAAATGTTGCTGTGATCCTAAAGGAATTGTGCGACTCTCCTGAAAACCCACACATTCTCCCAAGTTCTCTGTCGACTGAAAGTATGCTTTCCTTCCAGATGAGGATTGGTCTGTAGGCTGCACAGGCATCCCCAGAATTGTGACCTCTCCTGAACATGCCAGAGAGAGAAGGGCTGTCTTTAACCTTTGAAATTCAGGGACATCAGGGTATTAGAACATTTGAGCATGAGCTTTGGAGTCAGATTCCCTGAAGTTCAACCACTCATTAGCTCTGTAACCTTGGGCAACTCATTTAACTTCTTAAAATATATTTCTTCATTTAAAAGGGGGAAAAATGGGAGTAAGAACACCTCGTTTGCAGAGCTGTTATAAGGACTAAATCTAAATTATGTCTATAAAGTGCCTAACTCCGTGCCTGGTATGTAATAAGTGGCATTATTAGTACTGTTAGTATTATTTCTAAGGAGAGTCTTTCCCCTCCTGGGAAACCCTGAATCTGTCTGTTGTGCAGGTCCCCCTTACCTCCAGCCAGTCTGTGCAGACTTGCTGCCTGCTATGTCACCGTGAACGGAAAGGCTGGGAAGAAGGCCCTTCACAAAATGGACTGGTGTTGCAGGGTGAGAAGCTTCCCCCTGACTTCATGCCAAAGCTCGTCAAGAATCTCCTAGGCGAGATGCCTCTGTGGGTCTGCCAGAGTTGCCGGAAAAGCATGGAGGAAGATGAAAGACAGACAGGTCGAGAACATGCAGTGGCAGTAAGTAACCACTAAAAGGGGGTTCCTGAATGCAGAGCAGCCACCTCCCCAGAGACATCAGGTGTTCCTTCCCTGTATTCAGGTGGCTCTACTTGGGCCTTCACCAGGCCCAGGCACTGAGAGACTACCGGGTTACCCTGATACAGCTTTTGTGGCTCAGGTTCAGATTTGGGGGAAGAGACAGGTTTCAGGTATCCCACCAGCCCCTCAACATAGCACATACACAAGATAAGGATAAGGACCTGCACATAAGTACCAGTAGATCACGATCCTACTCCTTCATGTGACCCTGATTTCTTCAGCTCTGTTGCAGTTTGAAAGTCAACCAGTATGATGACACAGAGGGTAAAGGTCAGTTTGGGGGTCTAAAATGTGCCTTTGAAGCCTTCCAAGATAGCTGGGAACCATGGAAGTCTGCCATCCCATGAGTCATGGTGGCCAGACTTTCCTCATTTCTCATTCCCCTCCACACTCTTTGACCCAGGATCCATTAAGTTTCAGGACTCCTGGCTTAAAGACCCTTTCTCTTGATAGCAGCCTCTCACCACTCTACATAACTGGAAGCACCACAGCCCTCACTTAGCAAAGACCAGCCCTTGCTTATGCTTGTTGCCAGAGTTGTCCTGATTGTGTTTTGACAATGACACAGAGGCCTGGGGGAGAAAGGAATGCCTTTGGTATACACTGAGGCAGCAGAGGGTCTGCTCTGCTGTGTGATCGTAAGCCTTTTTCTTCCTGTTTTCCAGATCTCCTTGTCACACAYGTCCTGCAAATCACAATCTTGTGGAGGTGATTCTCATTCTTCCTCGTCCTCTTCTTCATCATCCTCATCTTCCTCCTCTTCTTCCTGCCATGGGAACTCAGGGGACTGGGATCCCAGCTCGTTCCTGTCTGCGCATAAGCTCTCGGGCCTCTGGAACTCCCCGCACTCCAGTGGTGCTGTGCCAGGCAGCTCACTTGGGAGTCCTCCTGCCATCCCTGGTGAGTTCTTCCAGCTCAGCAGAGAGCCAGGCCCCCTCAACACAGACAGCTATATTTTCCTGTCCACTTTATTTAATAAATCAGAGGATTGTTTATTAAAATAAGTAAAAATAGAGCTGTTCTCATGGTAGAAGGGGCAACTTAGACCTTCTATCTCTATGAAACACCTTTCCCATGACTCTAAAGTTGAAAAATACTGCTAGTAGAAGAAAATTGCTCTCAAAGCTGTCATTGATTCTGATAGCTGTTCATATTGAATCCAGGATGGGACCTCAAATGGTGAGGACCATTTGAGGAGTAAATGGAGTAGGGAGGCTCTTAAGGTAGTAGGACTTAAGTCTCATAACACCTGCCCTGCAGCATCACAGAAAACCTGGGCTTCCTCCACTCCTGGGCCTCGTTTCCTTCACTTGAGAGATGGCTATAAAAGCACTGCGCTTACATCCACAAGAGATTGGCCATGCAAGCTGCCATGCTTATTATAGTCAGCAGCTTCTATCTTTAGACTAGGATAATGCTCTGAGACCCAAAAAGAAGAATCTTGAGTTATTGATTTATTATATAAATATGATTTACTGTCATACTGCTATATGGAGGGCAGAACTCTTCAAAATGGTGCCACCTGCAGGAATCGGGCATATCCTGATTACTTGGTTTCAGAGCCTCAGCTTGTTGCAGGCATGCCTATCCCAGGTCTGAGGAAAGCCTTTGAATAAGCAGTTCCTGGACAGATCAAACACACATCCTCTTTTCATGCTCATGCACAGTAGAGATGTGTAACCCTCTCTGGGGCCAACATTCCTAGTACCTTTTCCTTTGGGCTTGGGTTCCTAAATCCTATCCAGCTGAGCTGCTGCCCATATAGAATCTTCTCTAGCTCCAGTGTCTCCTGTACTGAGAGGCTATGCCCTCTGGTAACAATAAGCAAGATGCTGTGGCAGTAAGCTCATGGGCTTTTTCCCGAAAGTCTGACCCCTCTCTTCCCCCTCTACCCACAGGTGAGGCTTTCCCTGTTTCGGAGCACCACCAGCACACAGACCTCACTGCTCCCCCTAACAGCCCCACTGGCCACCACCCCCAGCCAGCATCTCTGATCCCTTCTCACCCCAGTTCCCTTGGCTCCCCACCCCACCCACACTTGCTGCCCACCACCCCAGCAGCACCTTTCCCTGCCCAGGCTTCAGAGTGCCCTGTGGCTGCTGCTGCTGTCCCCCATCTCCCAGGGCCATGTCAGAGCCCCCACGTACCCTCCACCAGCATGCCACTCCTGAAGATGCCTCCACCATTCTCGGGGTGCAGCCACCCCTGCAGTGGGCACTGCAGTGGGCATTGCAGCGGGCCTCTCCTCCCACCACCAGGCTCTCAGCCACTCCCTAGCACTCACAGGTAAGTGAACTGTGTGAAGACCACACTCCCTGCTCACTGGAACTCAAAAGAGTTTTGGAAAACTTTACCAAGGGTACCTTTGGAGTAGAAATTAAAAGGTAAATTGAAGTGGATAGTAGCTCAGTGGTAGAGTGTATGCTTGGCATGAACAAGACCCTGGGTTTAAGCCCCAGAGATGTGTGTATGTACATAGTAGTTGCTCTTTTTTTTTTTTTTCATTGTTTTCCCAATTATAAAGAAATTTTTTTTAATTTGGAAAAAAAATGTCCTTATAGCCTAAATTTCTTAAAAACTGTGTAGTTTTTCTTAATGTTTTAAGTATCATATCATGATCATTTCCCCAATTAAAATTCCTCCTTTTTTTAAAATTTATAAGTGTGCCTCACACAATGCTAGGCAGGCACTCTACCACTGAGCTACAACCCCAGCCCTAAAATTCCTTTTTTTTTTGGTACCAGGGATTGAACTCAGAGGCACTCTACCACTGAGCCACTACCACTGAGCCACATCCCCAGACCTGTTTTGTATCTTATTTAGAGACAGGGTCTCACTGAGTTGCGTAGCGCCTCGCTGTTGCTGAGGCTGGCTTTGAACTTGCGATCTTCCTGCCTCAGCCTCCTGAGCTGATGGGATTACAGGAATGTGCCATCATGCCCAGCTAAATTCCTCTATTAAGGACCACATACAACATCTTACTTTATAGCTCCAGTATAGTTTATTTTACCATTCTATTCTTAAACATGTAGGCATTTCCAGTTTTTTAACCAAGAGAAATAAGGTTATAATAAATATTCTAAAACTGTATTTGAATGTGTCCTTTAGGAGATCCCTAGAACTCAACATAATTAAGAAATTTATATTAGTATATATTTGAAGTGAATTCTTGGAAGAAGGTAGATATATTTTTTTTATTTTTTATTTTATTTTTTTTAGTTGTAGATGGGCATAATATCTTTATTTTTATGTGGTGCTGAGGATCAAACCCAGTGCCTCACCGGTGCGAGACAAGTGCTCTACCACTCAGCCCCAGCCCCAGCCCTAGATGTATATTTTTATAAGCCAGCTCTATCTTAAACCAGATCTATGTTAATATGTATCTAGATTTTCCCATTCAAAAATCCCACTGCCCTGCTGCCACTACTTTTGATTTTTCCCTCATGTGTCTTTCACATGGTATTAATGGCATCTATACAGATTTGCTGCTTCTGGTTTTCACTTAGCATTACCTCATCAGCATGTTTGTGTTCCTTTGTGGTGTTCTTAGCCCTCAGTGTTCAAGGCTGAAGAAAATTAACAGTAGTCACTTCACTGTTCTCTAGTTACTGAACATTCAGGTCATTCCACCATTTTAACATTATGAATAACATCTTCAAAGATGTCTTGGCCTCAAGTGTTTTCCCTTTTTTAGATTTGTTTTGTTTTGGGTTTTCTTTTGGTGTTGCTGGCGGTCGAACCCAGGGCCTTTCATGTGCTGGAGAAATGCTCTACTACTGAGTTACATCCCCAGCCCAAGGAGGGTTCTTAATATGCATTGAAAAGCTGCTTTCCATAGGACTCTCCACGTTGATTCAACCACCAATAATAAGAGTCCTGGTCTCAGTACTCACAGGACCACTGGGTATTTTAATTTTCCTAAAATCAGTTTGCTTATGTGACAAATAAACAGTGGTCAATTTGGAGTAAACTTCTGTAAGCACCACTGATGACAATTCCTCCACACTCCTTTTTAAATGCTTGCTACATTTTTTCCTGTCCTTTTCAGTAGCGGAGAGAGGTTGTGTTGGACTGCCCTGAGAACTGAACTTCCACACAGCTCCTGGAGCTCCAACCTCACTCTGGCTCCCTGACCACTTGAGCTTCAATCTGTTCTTGCAGCATTCAGCTGCTGATGGCCCAGCTCTAATTCAGCCTGTGTTATCCTTACTCTGGGGAAATACTCTCTAGTGCATGATGGAGCACTCCCAGCAGCTCAGGAGGCTGAGGCAGGAGGATTGCAAATTCAAAGACAGCCTCATCAACTTAGCAAGATCCTTTCTCAAAATAAAAAATTAAAAAAAAAAAAACTGGACATGTAGCTCAGTGGTTAAGCGCCCCTGGCTTCAGTCCTCAGTACCAAAAAGGAAATACCATGCTGAATTTATAGTATCAGGCACAAGCAGTAGCTCTTAGTCTGTGGCCCAAGAGACACATTTGCTTTTCCTCAACTCAGTACTGCCTCAACTGTATTTAAGGCAGCTCCATTCACTGCTGCTGAGACCAAATTCAGGTCATGAGGACCTTAGAAAGTCAAAGGAAACACCTCATTGATAACCTGTGGGTGTGCCAGGAAAACCATCAGGCTGCTGATCCGTTCAGACAACTACTTACTGAGCACCTGCTATATACAGTGTTATTGTGCTACACACTGGATCCACAAATCGAAGTAGCACCGTTCCTGTCTGGAGGGAGTACACAGTGTTAAGAGGCAAATAAGCAAACAGATCATTATAGTAATACATGAAAACAGAATAAAGGTGTCCACATGATGCCCTGAGAAGGATGCATATGGTGGGCACAGGCAGGGGAAGCACGGGGAAATCTCAGAGGTTTGTATTTTTGATGGCCCTCAAGAGTAGTTCTTGTGAGAAGTGCAGATATAGCAAGTAGAGGACAGTTGATGTGGCAGGTACAGGTTGTGGTGCCTCCCTACACTCCTGTTGCCCACTCCTGCATTACCTTCCCTAACCTCTTCACCTATCTTTCTCCCTTGCAGCAGGGAGCCTGGGTGCAAGGGGCACAAGTTTGCACACAGCGGCCTAGCCTGCCAGCTGCCCCAGCCTTGTGAGGCAGATGAGGGACTGGGTGAGGAAGAGGATAGCAGCTCTGAGCGAAGCTCCTGCACCTCGTCCTCCACCCACCAGAGAGACGGGAAGTTCTGTGACTGCTGCTACTGTGAGTTCTTCGGCCACAATGCGGTGAGTGAGTCTGCCTGGGCTGAACAGGGCTGGGGGCCAGCCAAGGTGAGCAAAGGAGTACCCTGTTCTTCCCAGAGACCCCTCATCATGGTGATCATCACTGCGCTTGGACCCTGTGAGTCCTGGTGCTTGCATCTGCTCACTTGAGCTTCAGGGCACATTTATGAGGTTGGGGTTTTTTAACATTTTGCTACCTTTGCTCTTCTCGTGGTTTCTCTTAAGATTGACTTTTTTTCTTTAGGCAAAAGGAAAGGAAATGGCAGAGAGAAAGCTATGATTCTGATGAGTATGTATACGTGTGTAATCCCAGAGAAGTGAACGCTTGTGCGTGATGAAGGCAGAGTGGAAGCAAAAAGGCTCTCAGTTCCCCAAGTGTGACAGCCAGCCGAGGGACAGGCCGTGAGCACAGACGGCGCCAGGAAGGAGACTCAGATCAGAGTACATGCTGTCTCTGCACAGGGGAGAAAGCAGTTCAGAAGTCTCATAAGGTGAAGAGGAAAGGGCTGCCGGTTAGGGCAGAGCAGCTGAGGATAGGAGGAATGAAAGTAATTCAACTACCAGTTGCCTTTGAGCTAGGCGCTGTTATCCTCATTTTAGAGATGATAAAATTGAGGCTCACAAAGACTCAGTGACTCGCCCAAGGTCATACAACTTTCAAGTGATGAAGCCCAGGCTCAACCTGCTAGCCTGGCTCCCCAGTCCGTGCTCGCCCAGCTCTGCCCTGTTTCCTCCCACTCCCTTCACCCCTGGCTGTCTCGGCTCAGAGCCCAGGCATTTGGCCTCTGTGGCTGATGGTAGGGAGAACAGCTGTCTCGCTCCTCACCACATATTTGGTGCCAGCGGGTGGGAGTGCTATGGGCCTCCCAAGCCCAGGGTGTAATGTCAGCGCCTCCCCCTCCCCCAGCCACCCGCTGCCCCGACGAGTCGGAATTATACCGAGATCCGGGAGAAGCTCCGCTCAAGGCTGACCAGGCGGAAAGAGGAGCTGCCCATGAAGGGGGGCGCCCTGGGCGGGATCCCTGGGGAGCCCGCCGTGGACCACCGAGATGTGGATGAGCTGCTGGAATTCATCAACAGCACGGAGCCCAAAGTCCCCAACAGCGCCAGGGCCGCCAAGCGGGCCCGGCACAAGCTGAAAAAGAAGGTGGGTGTGGGGGGAGCTCAGCTCTACTGCCTTTCCTCCCTGAGGAGTCCCTCACCCCAAGCCCCAAGACTTCTGGGGCATGAATGGTGCTAGCTGCCAAAGGCCTTGGCACAGCTCACTGCTCTGGGAATGTCTGAATGAGTTTGGGAGGCATTAGGGTCAGAGAGTCTGGGGGCAAGTGAAGTGGAGGAAAAATGTTTCTTGGCCTCAGAAGCTGCTTACTGGATTCCTCCAAGCCGAGGACTTGCTTCATTCGGTCATTTATTCATTCAGCAAACACTTCTATAAACAATGGGAGCCAAAGTGTGCTGCATTTAAGTTCTCGTCTGGGAGAAGCTCAGTCCACTGGGGAGACACAAAACTGGACAAGTACATATGTATGACAAGCACTGGAATGAGGGAAGCCCCCATCCTGCCCGGAAGTGGCTTTGCAAGAGGCTGACTTATGAGTAGAGTCATGGGGAGTGAGGACACATACATCAGGAGGGCCTCCTGGCAGCTGGCACAGCACATTCCACAGAGCTTGATAAAGCCAAAGCTGAAAACAGCAGAGAGGCAAGACACAGAGGAGGCAAGGGAGGGCCTCAGGTCCAGCTGAAGATGAGCTTTGCCTCCAGGTGAGGGAATGTTACTGGACGGTTGTCATCAGAGAGTGTGCTTGAGATTTGTACTCTGATTGTGGTGTGGTGGTATGGAAGGTAAATTGAAGGGTGATAATTTAGGCAGGAAAGCCTAGAGTTTGATGCCCCAGCCAGGAAAAGACAAGCCAAGGGAGAGATAATTGAGGGTGGGGCAGCAACAGAAGAGAGAATTGCAAAAGAAGCAGAAGTGACAGGCCTGGGTGATCTGATGGCAGAATGATGGTGGTGCCTTTCACTTGAGCCAGGATGGCGTTTACAGAAGACTGAATGCAGTTGGGTTACATTTTCTCAGAGGTTCCCATGAAACATCAGCATGGAGAAGGAGGTGCATGCAGGGTTAGGAGTTGCCAATGCAAAGATGTAATTGAAGCCATGGGATTGAAATGGTCCTCAGGGCTAAGGTTTGAACCTAGGGAGCTATTCGCTAGCAGCCCTGCTGCCAGGTGAGTCCCAGAGCTTGGTGGAGTATTCCCTGCAGTTTTATTACCTCTTTGTCCATGTGTTCCCAACTGCATCTGCACAGTGCCACACCCAGAGGAGTCCAGCATCAAAGGGATTTAGGTTTGACAGTCAGCTAGTTCCTGTTCCTGGGTGGTCAAACAACCCTAGAGCTCTGGAAGGCAGAAGTGATTTCCAGCTTTCTCTAGCCCAAAGAATTACTAAGATCCTTCTGCAACTTGAAGTACTAAGCCAAGGAGTTCCACTGCTGCCTTCAGAAAATGGTCAGCACTTTTATGTTCCCATTCAAAGTTGCTATCTAGAGATGTTCAGTAAGCTGCAGTGGTCTTTCTAGCCTCTTAAGGCAGCTGTCCCCAGTTAGGTCCCCAGAGGGTTTCCAGGCCTAGTGTGCTTCTAATGAACTTGTGCCCTTTCCCTTTACTCATCACACTGTTTACTCACCTTTTCTTCTTGATAAGCTGTCTCTGCAAGCTCAGTTCAGATGTTTCCCCCTCTGCTGACTTCCTGAGGGAATTCTTCTGCTATGCTCCCACCACACCTTGGACATCTCTCTCAGCTGCCATTTGTCATGATCTTTTCACTCATTCCAAAGGTCACTGCGCAGCCACTGTCTGCTAGGCCCAGCCTAGAGGCCAGGACACACACAAACCAAGCATCCCTGCCCTCTCAGATGTAAAATCATGGGGCCACAGGCAGGGACAGACATACATGGGCAGTTGCAATGTCAGGTCATTATCTGTTTAGACAGCAGTCTTCACCCTGAAGTCCCTCCACCTGCCAAAGTTAACCACAATCTGGCTGACCACCGAAACCCAGTTTCCCAGCAGCCAAATAGTGATGACTGCTTATTCACTCCCACTTTGGGAGTGTCTGTTTCCCATCCCACTTCCAGATCATGACCCTCTCACCTTTGTGTACTAATCCCTAATCTTTTTTTTTAATTTATTTTTTAGTTGTACACAATACCTTAATTTTGTTTATTTATTTTTATGTGGTGCTGAGGATCAAACCCAGGGCCTCGCACGTGCTAGGTGAGCACTCTACTGCTGAGCCACAACCCCAGCCCCAAATCCCTAATCTTTTGAAGCTGAATTCCTGGCCCCACCATTGTAACCTCCTCCACTGAATATTGTCACCTGATCCTTTCTCTTATGCCCACACCAATCTAGTATTCACTCTTAAACTGAGTAAAAGAGCAAGTGAACTGCCCCATCACTCTCTCTCTTGCCAGTACTCTCAATTCCTTGCCCCATTGCCCTTCTGACAACACCTTCTCAGAAGAACTGCCCCTCCCCTTTTACACCCCAAAAATAGTACATGACCAGATCTGCCTGGGGCTCCTGGCCAGGTGTTCTTCCTTTGCCTGAGCCCCCACATTGCCTGGCCAGCTTCCATAGCTCCCTAGTCATCTTGCTCCACCTTATGCCCATTTGTACAGCCTCTTTGTCAGAATTCCATTCTCCAGCCTCCAGGTCCTTCATGGCCCCCTTCCCCTTATTTTTGGTAAATAACCACTTTCCATGTCAACAAGGAAAAAAAACATTGGTCAGGCATTCTCTCAGCTGGTCACCCCACCTGCAAACTTAACTTTCCTCCTTGTTGGGAGAAGAGTTAGCCCTTTCTCACCCAAACCCATGTGGTCCTTTTTTGCCCCCTCAACCTAGCATGAGGCCACCTACTCTGGAACTGCAGCCTCTTCTGGGATACTTCTCATTGCCTTTCACTGTGTCCACTGCTGTCATTTCAAAGCAGACTCTTTCTCAAGCTTGTAGCCTCTCCTGTACCTTTCCTCTCATCAAAGCCACCATTTCTTGAAAAACAATGTCTGTGTTTACTGTCTTCACCTCCCCCCTTGTCAGCTCACTGCAGATTGTTCTTCATCCCTTTGCAGAGTCACACTGATTTCTTTGTTGCCAAATTCAAATTCTGTTCATCCATTTAGCAACCTTTGACATTTTGTGTTTTCCTTTTCAAACTTTGTCTTTGGCTCCTCTGCCCTCAACCAAACAGGGCCAGGAAAGAAGCAATGGGAACACCATCTTCTCCAGTTTTCTGACCTCTCAGACCACTTTCTGTCTCCTTTGTGAGCACCTGGCCCTCCCACTTGAGCACATCTCCCTGGGAGAAGAAAGCCATGGAGTTTGCACTATACTCCCTGCACTTCAAATTGACATCCCCTACTGCTACTGGGCTCCTCCTCACGGATGTCCCCCAGACACCTCAAACTCAGCAAACTGAGCTTGTTATCTTTCTCCATTGTCTCGTCAGTGGCACCACCACCCACCCTGATTGCTGAACCAAAGCTCACCTCTGAATGCCATTCTGGAGGAGTGCATTATACTGACAGAGCAGTGGGCCTTGCAGTTGGACCTCAGTTTGAAGCTCTGCTATGCCACACTTGCTGTATGACCTTGGGCAAATCACTTAACCTCTAAGCCTCGGTTTCTTCATCCATAAAATGAGAATAACAGGAGAACCTAAGTCAGATTATTGAGGATGAAATGGAGTGATGTACAAGAAGGTTGGGCAGAGTGCCTGGCGCATGTCAACGTTTGGTCTATGGAGGCTGCTGTAGCAGCCACAGTGGTTGGGCAGTGTTTTCTCAACACATCTCATTCTCTCCCTACCCAATACCAAAAGTCCTATCCAGGCGGCTTTCCCAGTTGCTCTAACCAGTCACTTCTTTCCACCTACCACCTCTACTTTCAAAGCCTTACGTGGCTGGTTAAACATTGTCCTTGGGCTCAAACCAGAACCCATTGTGGCCTGCAGGCTCCTTGGGATCCAGCCCCAGCTTAGCTTGCTAGCTTCATTTCTCAGCCTCTCCTCTCTCACCTGCCTTCCTAGCCCCTGCCCCTGCCCCTGCCCTAGCCCCTGTCCCACACAAAAATAAAATAAAATAAAATAAAATAAAATCTAGACTCTGATTATACCTTTGAATGGTGTGTATTCCCTAATGATACACTTTTCCATTTCCCAGCTTTTAGGCTTGCTATTCCTTCTGTCTAGAAAGTACTTGTCTCAACTTTTTCAAGGATGATTTCACTCAGCCTTCAGTGCCTTCTCTAGGAAGCACTCCCTGATGACCCAGTCTGGGATAGGAGGATCATTATCTCCCTGTAGCTCTGAATTAAACAGCCTGTTTATGTCTCTTCTCCCCCAGCTGACCAAAGTAAGTGAGGCAGAGACCATGTATGGCTGCATGCCCATCGCCTAGCCCACTGCTTCACAGTTGATGGTTAGTTAATGGTTGGCAAATGGAATTGAAAGCCATGGCAACTTCTGAAGATCATTCCTGGTGTATTATCCAAACTCTGTCATTTTACTAGCCACATAACCTGAGCCGGTTCTGTATTCTTCCCAAAGTCAAGATTCTTCATCTATAAGTTGCAAATCGCGGTGCAGCAAGGATAGTAATAAGGATTAGAGGAGTCAGGTTCCTGGTATGTAGCAAAAGATGTGCATTGCTGTGCTTTCTCCTTCTGTTCATATCAAGAGTATGTGGTGCTAGTACGCTCCCTCCACAACAGTACATTTCAGATATTTTGGTTCAGCAGCAAGTTTTTTCTCTGCATGAAGTTTTCCATGGACTCTCCTGTCTATAATAACTAAAAGCAAAGCTGTGCTGGTATAGGGAAGCAGTGAGGGGAAAGGGCCTCTGGGCCCTTGGCCATCCCATGGCCTCCAGGCCCTACACACAGCTAGAAATCCTGCTTCAGGCTATACTGTTGCTCACTTGATCCCCCACTACCAAGGCACAGCCCTAGCACTGGGGAAGGAACTTGGCACAGACTTTTTCTCCCTAATAGATGTACATCTATGTAGTAGGTGTACTACTTGTTCTCCCTAAGTCACAACCTGGAAGGTTAGGTTCAGAGAGAGTAAGTGATTTGTCCAAGGTCCCCAGGAACAGCTGACCTTAGTAATAGAGCCAGTGTTCAAAAGAGATGAGAGAATAAATGCCTGGCTGCTAGGACACAGGGTCACCCACTTTTAAGTTGACTCTTAAGGTGGTGGCAAGCTCTCCTTTTTTCTCCTCAGATTCATTTTTCTGCTTTTCCCCCTTCATTCCCAAATCGAAGGAAAATACTGAGGTGGTGCAAGTCATCCAACACCAGGTGCTCTACCACCACATTCTTCCCAAGGGTTCTCCTCTCTGCTTCCTATCTCCTTCTAAAGACCTTATTTGCCTGCTGATGCCTTGAAGTGGGGGTGATGGCCAACAAATTGATTATTCTCCAGATGTGAGTCCATCAAAGCTTATTGCAAGGTCTCAGAGCCTCCCTGGGCTGAGGGACTGCTTTTACATGTTCATGCCATGGCCTGGTATGGCTGTCCATGTATGCCATTGGGCCCGCTTTGAGTGTGGCCTCAAATCATTGAGGCCAGCATAGTCATGAGAAGCATTTCTGTTGGAAGGGCACTCAGATGTAGCATCAGGAGGGCACATGTATTCCCAGCCACCCAGAGCAATCACATCTTCCTTCCTTTAAGACTGTATAATATGACTTTTCCCCTCCCGCCTGCAGAATTGGAGAGACTGCCTCTCCAGCAGCCATGTTCCTCACATGAATCCCCATTTTGGTCTTCAGAATTATTGTCCCCATTTTGATGAGTCCACAGGGACCCAACTGGTAAGTATATGAGTTGCTCAAGTTAAGTTCACACACAACTCAGGCCAGGGAGGCAGAACCTGTCTCTTTGAGTCCCAGCCTTCTTAGGCTGTAGGACCAACACAGGGGCTTGGTATGAACAAACTATAAAAACCTTACTCTCTGGGGAGGGCAAACCTGTCTGATCACATTTCACCCTCATTCCGGCAGTGTCAGGGAACAGGCCAGGATTGTGAGGCTGTGTCTCCAGCAAGTTAGTGGCAAAGCTGGGTCCCAGACCGATGTGTCCAGTGTCATATTGTGTCTGATAGCTGACAGACCTCTGCTGAAACTGCCTCTTGTATTGGCAGGAAAAAGAGAAGGCCCAGTTGGCAGCAGAAACTCTGAAGCAGGCAAATCGTGTTTCTGGAAGCCAGGAGCCAAGGCCTGCCAGGGAAAGGCTCTTGGAGTGGCCTGACCAGGAATTGGATCGAGTCAACAGCTTCCTGAGCAGCCGTCTGCAAGAGATCAAGAACACTGTCAAAGACTCCATCCGTGCCAGCTTCAGTGTGTGTGAGCTCAGCATGGACAGCAATGGCTTCTCTAAGGAGGGGGCTGCTGAGCCTGAGCCCCAAACTGTATCCCCCTCAAACCTCAATGGCTCCTCAGAGCAACGGCCTGACATCAACCTTGACCTGTCCCCTTTGACTTTGGGCTCTCCCCAGAGCCACACGTTACAAGCGCCAGGTGAGCCGGCCCCACCGTGGGCAGAAATGAGAGGTCCCCACCCACCATGGACAGAGGTGAGGGGTCCCCCTCCTGGTATCATGCCTGAGAATGGGCTAGTGAGGAGACTCAACACCGTGCCCAACCTGTCCCGGGTGATTTGGGTCAAGACGCCCAAACCAGGCAACCCTAGTTCTGAGGATTCAAGCTCAAAGGAGGTCCCCAGTTGCAAGCAGGAGCTGCCTGAGCCTGTGGCCACAGGTGGGAAGCCACGGAAAGGCAAAAAACAGGGTAGTCAGGCCAAGAAGAACGAGGTGAACCTGGCCTCCCATCCTGCAGCCAACACAGAGGTTCCCAGTGCCAAGAGCCAGATGTCTGGCCCCAAGCAACCAGGCAAGGCCCCAGAGCTTCCCAACACAGGCAGCTGTGCTGAGGCTGCAGAGGGCAGCCGAGGGAGCCGTCCAGTATCAGGTTGGGCTGACAGCCCCAAAACTGAGAAGGAGAAGGGCAACTCCTGGCGGAACTGGCCAAGTGAGGTCAAGGCACGTCCTTCAGAGCTGGAGTCTGTACAACCCCCAGGCTCAGCAAGGCCACAGAGCTTACCCCAGGGCAAGAGCCGCAGCCGCAGGAGCCGCAACAAGCAGGAGAAGTCAGCCTCCTCGTTGGGTGAGTGCACCAGGAACCAAGTGGCTGGCCCCGCACCCCCCAACCAGGCCACAGGGTGGAGGGCAGTCCTCGTGTATGGGCAGTGCTGCCCCCCAGAGCATGACCCCAGAGGCTTGGCTGTGGGCACTGAGCCCTCCTGGCTCTGTCTTCCTAGACGATGTGTTCCTGCCTAAGGACATGGATGGGGCGGAGATGGATGAGACTGACCGAGAGGTGGAGTACTTCAAGAGGTAGGTGTGGGCTCACAATTCTCCCACTTTGCAAGGGGAGCCCTTGCCTATACCCAAGTCCCATATTGTACCTTGAACTTTAGAAAGGCCTACTCCCTGACTTTTTGGGGTACCTCACTACCCCTTCAGGCCCTGCCACCTAGCTGGTCTGCTGGAACCCAGGGAGCCACTTTCCAGAATGGAACATCTAGGAAGGAGCAAGGCATAGGGAGGATGTGACACATCAGGCACCCCCAGATCTGGGCTTTTTCCAGCTTTTATTCACTCTTTAGTCATTTATATTTCCTCTACTATGCCTGGGCAATCTAGACAAGGAGAGATCGAGAAGTATACAGCACAGTGATCAGTGCTATTAGAGGTGTAAGAGCATGAGGGGGTACATGATGGGAAGAGGATGGGGGCTTCAAACCAAGCTGGGGAGCAGAGGCAGGCCAAGAAGCTTTCCTAGGAGAGGTGATACCCAAGCTGAAACCTGAAAATTAAAACTGAGTTGACCAGGGAAAGCATAAGGCATTTGAAGTGTGGCCAGGGTGTACCAAGGTCTGAGGGTAAGGGAAGCAAGCATACTTAGAGAAATAGAAGCCCACCCCATATGTTAGAGAATGAACTATGAGGTTAGGAAAGGAGCTTGAATCTCAGGTGGGGGTGGTCTTCCTGTCACCCTGGCCTCATGGGCAGTGATTCCTGAGCCAGCAGAGCTCCCATGCCTGCCAGACCCTGATACTTGGGAGCACAGAGGTTGTGTTACATCAGCTGGTTTCTTAGTGGAACACCTAGTGTCTGGAAGAGGGGTCCAGAGAGGAAGGGAGGGAACCTCTGATATGCTTCTTCCTGTCTCCCAACAGGTTCTGTTTGGATTCAGCAAAGCAAACTCGTCAGAAAGTTGCTGTGAACTGGACCAATTTTAGCCTCAAGAAAACTGCTCCCAGCACAGCTCAGTGAGGTAGAGACCCCAGGTTACTTGCATCCCCTATTCTCTGCCATCTTATGTGCCCATTCTCTGCTTTGGGCAAGGGGTTTGGATTTGGGCCTTGTTGGCCATGGTCTCTGTACCTCTACAACAACCCCACATAAGCCAGTTGGCAGTGTCCAAAAATCTAGACCCCGTCTCTTTTCCTGCAGCTACCCAACCCAGGCCTCTGTTGGTGCACTACTCCTTTCTGGCAGACCCTTCTCCTGCAGGGTCCCTTCACGGACTGCCATCCCTGGGCTATCACCACCAAGGCTTATGCCCTCTACCAGCTGCCAGGCAGCTGCAGAACCCCTGGGGCTGCCCTCTATCCTTATACAATCAGGCCTTGGGTTTGGATCCCACTTGCTTAGCATGGTTCTTCAATGCAGATGATGAGAGTGGCTTCCAGCTGAAGCAGTGTGAAAAGAGAGCCAGCCCCAAGGGAGCAGTGAAGGGCAGATGAGTGAGAACAAGGATTTGTAGATATGGAGGATTTTATTGTGGGAAAAGTTCCCTGAAGAAGATAGTAACCAAGCTGCCTCCAGGAAGAAGAGACCCAGCCTCCAGATGGCTCTGGCCTTCCCTCCAACTCCCTGCATAGTTCCTTTTGTCTATTTTTTTATTTTAATTTTTAATTTTTAAATTTTTGGTTCTGGGATTGAACTCAGGACACTTTACCACTGAGCTACATCCCTAATCCTTTATTTATTTATTTATTTAAAATTTTTTAATTTTTAAAAATTTTTTAAGTATAGATGGATACAACACAATGCCTTTATTTTTATGTGGTGCTGAGGATCGAACCCAGGTCCCTCCCGTGCTAGACGAGCGCTCTACTGCTGAGCCACAATTCCAGCCCCAATCCATTTTATTTTTTACTTTTAAACAGGGTCTCGTTAAATTACTGAGAGTCTTGCTAAAAATTGCTGAGGCTGGCCTCGTATTTGCAATCCTCACATCTTGGCCTCCCACATCTCTGGGATTATATATACCACCACATCTGGCTGGTCTGAAATATTGACGTTGTATGATATTAGACTGGGTACACACCCTAGGAGAAGGCATTTGTCTGGGAACTTAGTGCAGAAAAGGGCAGCTGGCAGGTGCACCTTAGTGCTGGGCTTGGGGCCTTGCAGTTGTGCACTTTCCTGTCTTAACCCTGAGTTGTGCCCCTGGGGTAACTATACACTTACCCTTCAAGACGGTGGAAAGCTGGGGTAGGTAAGCTGAGCTCATTACCCCCACCCCTGTTCTTCTCTTTCCAGTGCCAGAACAACTCTCTGAGCTGAAGTAACAGGCTTCCTGGACCCTCATCTCCCTAGGGACAGCCTGGAGAACCTGAAGCCAAGGCAGTCTTCAGGGCTGCACTCAGTGTGGCATCCTTGTGCTGTCTCTACCTCAGGACTCTCTTATTTAGACTCCCCTCAGCCCTCTGCTGGGGATGCTGTGCTCCCTGATCCACAAGATATCCATACCCTAGGATCATCTTCCAGGGTTAAGGTGTCTTCCTGCCTCTTTTCCACCTCCACAGAATCAGGAGTAGCAGAGACCCAGGCACTTCAACTGTTATTTTCCTAATGAGAGAAAAAGGGTCACATCTCCCATAAGCCAAATTCCACTGTCATTCAGGAAGCCATATCCAACCATCTTCTCCCACCTTGGCTGATCTCTAAAACATGCTCTATGCATGAGAAAGCAGTGCTGGCATGGACTTGGGACCTAGCCCAGGCTGTGTCCCTAGAGCCTAAGGCAGGAATATGAGTACAGAGCTGGCTTTGTCTGGTACCTGCCAGTGGGAGAGCAGATAACTAGTAGCTACTTAGTCCTGGCCCAGAAGGGTATTCTGCAGCAGGGATCCTAAGATCCTCAGAAACTATCCCTCACATTCCAGAAACCCAGCCCAGGACTAGGGTTCTTTGCCTCCCTTAAGAAGGGTCTTAACCTTCTTCTGCTTGAGGTGATCCAGGGAATCTATTCAGCATTTTCAGCCTAAGGAACAAAAATAGGAGACCATTGTTCTTACCTCCACAGGGACCCAGAGTCCGTGTAGGTCGGGCGTGCACTGTTCTCACTGTGATCCTACTCTTTTATGCTTTCTCAGCCCTGCCTAGGTCAAGCTTCTTCAGGGCATCCTGAGGCCCCGACTGCCAGCTGAAGGTCTACAGTTTTTCCTCCCGCGTGTCCTGCCCACCGGCCCTGACCCCTCCCTGCTCCTGCCATCCTGGACCAACCAAACGCTGAATGGATGCTGTGCTGTGCTAGAGTCCCTCAGGACCTCGGCAGAGCCGCTTCCTGGTGCTATGCAGCCTCCACACTCAGAACCTGGGGACTGGGCTGGCCTGTGCTGTGGGCCAGGGGCTGATGGTACTGCTGGCCCAACACTGCTCTCTTTGTGTTCAGTTTTTTGTTTTTGTTTTTATTTTATTTTTTTTCAATTCTTTACTTTTGATACTGTGAAGATCTTTCATGCTGAAAGATAAAGCAACATTTGGACACAGAGTTGATGTGAATGGTGATTTGCTGGTCTGGGTGGGGGGTGGGGTGCCAAATATACTCAGAAGCATGGGATCACCTTAGTCACTAATCCATTGTCAGCAGTTTGTCCTGATTTCTATTAAATCCTTAGAATTCTTCAAAGCAATCCTAAATGGAACAGTTAGTCCATTTTACAGTTGAGGAAAGTGACTCCACTGAACTCTGACCAAGCAGGACTGAGCAAAGGCCTATGTAACTGTGGGGTCTGTGCCCTTTCCTCCTGTTGGAGGGACTTTGGTATGTGAGTTTGAAGCAGCCCCTCCCAGCTGTATGTCTCAGCTTGCCCCTTGACAAGATGGGTGATCTGCAAGTTAGATGTGGTCTTTCTGCAAGCAAGGGTCTAGGAAAGATCGTGGGCCTCTATGGACAGTGCCCAATAGCCTGGCAAGTTACAGGTTCCTTACGCTGCCTTAATTTAGTCAGGGAAAGTTGAGGGTAAAATGATTTTTTATAAATTAGATCTGATTTCCTAGAGGGAATGGGACATGTAGTCTAAGATAATGAACCAGTCTGTAAAGTCAAGCAAACTGTCTCATCCCCCAAATGGAAGGAGGTGTTTTGGAAATTCAGATTTAAATATGTATATCCTAAAATGACTCACATACATTTATGTCCAAGTTCCCTATCTCCAAAGTAGTTTTCGTTACTAAAGCCAACTCTTAACTTGAGCTTATGTGGGGTGTTCTGTGTCTAGAGGAGAGTTCTATAACTGGCAAGAAGGCTCATGGAGCTTTATAAACAGGACCAGAAATCACAACCTCCCCTCCCCACCCCCAGGTTGAGCCCCACCATGATACTGTGTGAATGTGTTTTCTAAAGAAGGGAAACAGCATTTGACCACGTGCAAGCAATTCCTGGTCCCTGATTTGTTCCAGTCTCTGAGGAAGTGTGAACACTTCCTTGTGAAACCTTTCTCTTATATTTATTTGTGTTCCTCTTCCTGCCATTCTTGCACCAAGCTCCTGCCTTAAAGTTGAATTAGCATAGCTGTCCAAAATGTGGCTCCATCATGCCAAAAAATGAAGACCTGATCAAATAGTCCGTTTGCTTACAGAGAAAAGCTTATGTGAGTGGCATTCAGGGTCTTTTGTGCCTGGATGCCTGATGCTTAGCGCTCATCCCAGCCATGCAGTTTCTAGTTAGGCTTACTACCTGTAGGATTCCCAACATTTTTTTCTCTCATCTTTCCCTCTTCCCCAATTATCTTCCTTCATAAATTCCTATTAATCCCACATCTCAGATGAGAAGCCATTTGTCCTGCCTTTTTTCCAAACATGGTTCGTTTTCTGCCTTCTCAACTAATCCACAAAACATCTCACATGCCAAGTATATTGTCTTGTTCATCCTTTATATGCTTCAGCACTATGCACGTGCCCAGCATTTACTCCTATTAAACATGAATGAAGGAAACCATGTTATTCCTCTTTACTAGTCCCCAATGAAATTGAATTTATAACTTAACAATCACTGCCCTGCAACATCTGGGCCCAGTATCCTTTTCCTACCATGTCCCTGGTTACCCCGGCCTCTCACCAGCCATGGTGATCTCTTTATTCCCTGAAGAATGTATGTACTTGCACATCACCAGACCTTTACTCCTGCTGTACTCTTGCTCAGGAAGCCTCTATTTTCCACTCCCTGCAATGAGATTCCCACACTTCCCTGGAAACTCAAATCCAGTGTTTGCTCTAAGTCTTCTAGTTGGTCACTCTGATCTCTATTATAGGATTTACAACAGTCATCATTTACATATGTACAGGGCCTCAATTAAAAACCATTGTCATCAGGATTTTATTTATCCCTCACTGCGTGGTCTCATAGATGAAACCAGTCAGAGCGGTTGTGGGTGTTCGGGGTCATTTATTCATCAAGCCCCACCCTGCTCCTGTGGAGACAGTGGCAGGATCCCAGCTTGCCAGATCCTGGAGCCCCGGGTCACTAGAGGGCTTAATATTCGCTGGCCGCGGCGTACTAATGGCGTCATGCTTTAGGTCTGGCTAGGTTAACCTGGCAGGCTGCCCTTCTCCCTTCCGGGTCAGTCTCCACTGGGAGTCTTCTGGATGGGTTTGAACCTTTGCGCATGCTCCAAATCCTCCAGTATCCTATACGTCGTACCTGATGTCTTAGGCCCTGGCAACAGTGGCGTAGCCACTCACAGCCCCGCCCCCACCTCCTGAGGAAATTTGTCCCTCTGCGCGATCCGGCTCTCCAAGATCGTTGCTAGGCGCCGACGTCCGCTTCTTCTCATCGGATTGGATGTCGCTCAAAGATGAGGCGTGGTTTGCCGTGGCGCGCATGCGTGCGACAAAGGATGGAGGAGTCGGAACCCGAGCGGAAGGTGGGAACGAGGCTGGGGCCCACGCGGGTGGGGAGAGGGAGTGAAGGTGGGGGCGATGTGGAGTTCGGGTCTAATTCGCTTGTATCTGTAGCGCGCCCGCCCGGACGACGCGACCGCAGGAGGAAGCCGCTCCGAGGATGAGGATGAGGACGATGAGGATTACGTGCCCTATGTGCCGCTGCGACAGCGCCGACAACTTCTGGTGAGGGATTAGGGTCGGAGGAGGAATGGGGGCGTGACCACCGGGTTTCATTGGGATTGGAGGAGGCGCTGGCCTTCCCCAAGTTCAGAGATGATCTGAGAACTAAGTTTCTGTACACGGGTAGCCCCGGGGCAAAGGAAGGACTTGCGATCGGGCCTGAGGAGTAAGGCAGTCTGCTCCTCCAGGCACAGGTCCCACACTTAAAAGCCCGGATCCTGATGCAGTCTCCCCGGGGACCATACTACCCTCGCCCCGAGACAGACAGACACACACACGCGCACACACACGCGCACACACACACACACCACTTTGGACTTGATTCTGAGAGACACTGGTGGAACCACAGCTCCAGAAACTGCTGCAGCGAAGACGCAAGGGAGCTGCAGAGGAAGAGCAGCAGGACAGCAGCAGTGAGCCCCGAGGAGATGAGGACGACATCCCTTTGGGCCCTCAGTCCAACGTCAGCCTCCTGGATCAGCATCAGCACCTCAAAGAGAAGGCTGAAGGTGGATTGGGCAACACTGCCTGATCAGGGAGGAGGTACAAACCAACCTTAGTGCCTTATTTTGGTGTCTCACATCTTCGGGTTCTTTTCTCAGCACGCAAGGAATCTGCCAAGGAGAAGCAACTAAAGGAAGAAGAAAAGATTCTGGAGAGTGTGGCTGAAGGCCGAGGTAGGGTTGTAGCTAGGACAATAAGGAGGTGGATTGAACCATCTCCCCGCAACCCCAGGCATTTAATATCTCATAGGATCTGGCCTCTGGGAAACAGGAGCCAGCCCTGAGTTATGTTTGTTTTCTCAGCCTTGATGTCAGTGAAGGAGATGGCCAAGGGCATTACATATGATGACCCAATCAAAACCAGGTATGTCTTTCCAGACTGTTCAGTTGCCCATACTTAGGATGGTGTGTGGCTGAGACTAGCAGTGACACCCCAAGCCCAGCTGTTCCAAGGCCTCTGTTGAACCCTACCACCCACCCACAGTTGGACACCACCCCGTTACGTCCTGAGCATGTCTGAAGAGCGGCATGAACGAGTTCGGAAGAAGTACCACATCCTGGTGGAGGGAGATGGTATCCCACCACCCATCAAGAGCTTTAAGGAAATGAAGTTTCCTGCAGGTATCTGGGAACAGAGAGGAAATACTACATTTTTCTAATCGAGTCTTGGTGAGGTGTGCCTTAGCCTCCACTGAGCTCAGCATTGTCAGTGTTGAGTCCAGACAATAAGAATGGAGAGATTTAAAAAGGGATATCCTTAGGCTTATTTTTCAACTGTCCCAACTGTATATGTTCTCTGTCTTCTGTAACAGAGTTTCACTGGGAAACTGCTATTGGGTTTAGATAGCTGTGGGTGTGAATACTGGCTCCAGCAAGCCCATTGGCATTGGACAAGTCTCTCTTCCTTTCTCTCCCTGAGCCTGTTTCATCACTTGCAGCTTGTGGGGTAGTGCTGATCTTACAGGCTCTAGGACTCTGATAAAGCACTTGCTGTTTCCCACAGCCATCCTGCGAGGCCTAAAGAAAAAAGGCATTCTCCACCCAACACCTATTCAGATCCAAGGTATCCCTACCATGTGAGTATGGACCATGGACTTGGGGTCCCTGAGGAAAGCAGTGACAGGGAGAAGCAATAACCAAGTGTCTAACTGGAGAAGTAGTTGCTGTTTCCTGCTGGACCTGGCCCTCAGGCTATCTTCTCCTACAGTCTTTCAGGCAGGGACATGATTGGCATTGCCTTCACGGGGTCAGGCAAGACGTTGGTGTTCACACTGCCCGTCATCATGTTCTGTCTGGAACAAGAGAAGCGGTTGCCTTTCTCTAAGCGTGAGGGGCCCTATGGACTCATCATCTGCCCCTCGGTAAGATGGGCTGGACTGGAGGGCAGGGTAGAGACTGGGATCACCTGGTGCCAGCTTTATCTTTGTGCCTACAGCGGGAACTGGCCCGGCAAACTCATGGCATCCTGGAATATTACTGCCGCCTGCTGCAGGAGGACAGCTCACCTCTCCTGCGCTGTGCTCTCTGCATTGGGGGCATGTCTGTCAAAGAGCAGATGGAAACCATCCGACAGTACGTACAGGCACCCCTGCCCCACACCCCTCCACAAAGTCCCCAGAGAAGCTTAATTTAGCCATTTTGCAGATACTCACAGAAGTCTCCTGTTGGGGCCCAGCTCTTAAGGACCCTAAAGTCTTATGGGGAGGTGGATTGAGGTGAGACAGAGACATATGGCCAGGTACTGTGGGAACACAGTAAATGGAATGGCCTAGGCATCTTGAAGGTAGGAGGTCAGAGAAAGCTCTGCAGGAATGGTGATATTTGAATTTTGAAGAGAGGCAATTCAAGCAGAAAACACAGAAGTAGGGATCAGGGGTGTCCAGAAAAGTCAGGGTTGTTCATTGCAGTCAACCAAGGAGGCTGGGGCACTAGATCAAGGATAGATCAGAGTGGCATGCCCTTTCCACACAGTTCAGACCGCATAGATGTTGCCAGATGCCATGGACCAAGCCTTGGGGTCACTGATGGGCCAGACCCCATTCCTATTTCTGAGGCATTTTCAATCTTGGGGAAGATGCAGGCGCAGAAAAGATGAAGTCAGTACTGGGAAAGTGAGCCAAGTGGGGCTGGGAATGTGGCTCAAGCGGTAGCGCGCTCGTCTGGCATGCGTGCGGCCCGGGTTCGAKCCTCAGCACCACATACCAACAAAGATGTTGTGTCCGCCGAGAACTAAGAAATAAATATTAAAAATTCTCTCTCTCTCTCTCTCTCTCTCTCTCTCTCTCTCCTCTCTCACTCTCTCTTTAAAAAAAAATAAGAAGAGAATGTTATATTAAAAAAAATAATAATAATTGCTTTAAAAAAAAAAAAGAAAAAGAAAGTGAGCCAAGCAAGCCTCCAAAGGGGCTGCAGGAGCCTGGGGTAAAGCCTCTGCAGAGTTTCAGTGTAGCTTTCCTGGGGCTAGGAGAGTGACCTGAGAAAAGGAGAAAGGTGTCTAAGGCCAAGGGCTGGCAAGAAAGTTGTAAGACCTTTATTTTATTTTTATGTGGTGCTGAGGATCGAACCCAGTGCCTCGCGTGTACTAGGCGAGCGCTCCACCACTGAGCCACAACCCCAGCCCCTGCAGGCCCATCATATGCCGTATGTATAGGGCAGAATATGGAGAGTAACAAGCAGAGGACAGGGGAGGAGAGTGAGGAGAGAAATCCTAGAGCAGAACAGAGGCAGGATGCCATCTCTTGGTAGGTGATAGGCAAGTAGCCCTAACCTCAGGGTCTCTCCTTGGTTCTCAGTGGTGTACATATGATGGTGGCCACCCCTGGACGCCTCATGGATTTACTACAGAAGAAGATGGTCAGCCTAGACATCTGTCGCTACCTGGCCCTGGATGAGGCTGACCGCATGATTGACATGGGTTTTGAGGGCGACATCCGCACCATCTTTTCCTACTTCAAGGTGCCTCCCCCGACCTTTCCAGGGATTCCTGTGCTGCCCCCCGCCCCATGCATACCACATTCAATTATGGAGGGCCCTGAGCCTCTGCACTGCCCCATCCTCTGCTCCTACTTCAACGGGGCTATATCCCAGCTGCTTAGTATCCCCAGAACCTATCCCCTACACATCTTGGCCCATCCCCACCAGCCCTGCATGCTTTAGCCCCAGCCTCCACCCTTCCTCAGGGCCAGCGGCAGACTCTACTCTTCAGTGCTACCATGCCAAAGAAGATTCAGAACTTTGCCAAGAGTGCCCTGGTAAAGCCTGTTACCATCAATGTGGGGCGTGCTGGGGCCGCCAGCCTGGATGTCATTCAGGTGAGCAGGCATTCTTGGTGAACAGTCTCTCACCGGTGAGGACTGCATCTGGTGAAACTGATTGGAAAAAGGGGTTCACTTCATGTTAATTGGAACCCCTTGCTCTTAGGGGTTCCGGCTCTTGGTGGCAAGAGGCATCTAGTTATCTCCTGGCTCAGATTAGAAACCCAGCCTTCTTTGGCAGGGTCGTGGCCAGTGACCCTAACCTTGAGATCACCTGACCTGGCCTCTTTCTGGCAGGAGGTGGAATACGTGAAGGAAGAGGCCAAGATGGTATACCTGCTTGAGTGCCTGCAGAAGACCCCCCCTCCTGTGAGTGCAGCCAGTCCAGGCTAGTGCCAGAGTCCCAGGACAAGGAAGAGGGTAGTAGGGACTGCATGCTGGGGTAAAGCTGGAGGAACACCCTGTGACTAGAGTTGGCCTTCCTGCGTAGGTGCTCATCTTTGCAGAGAAGAAGGCTGATGTGGACGCCATCCATGAGTATCTGCTGCTCAAGGGGGTTGAGGCTGTTGCCATCCATGGGGGCAAAGGTCAGGACAGTGCATGCATTAGCGTGAACCCTGATGCTATAGCAACCCATCACCTATCCCTTCCCCTGCCTGACCTGCTTGCTTCCAAAACTCCCGCCCTAACTCTGATAGCTGTTGCCTGACCCTCCCTAGACCAGGAGGAACGGACCAAAGCCATTGAGGCATTCCGGGAGGGCAAGAAGGATGTCCTGGTGGCCACAGATGTGGCCTCCAAAGGCCTGGACTTCCCTGCTATCCAGCACGTCATCAATTACGACATGCCTGAGGAAATCGAGAACTACGGTGGGGAACTTCAGGGACCAGGGGTGTGGGGTAGACAGAAGGACCAGGCCAGGTCCCCACCCTGGTGCAGTGAGCTAGAGGCTCTGTCCTTCTCTTTTCAGTGCACCGAATTGGCCGCACAGGGCGCTCAGGAAACACAGGCATTGCTACGACCTTCATTAACAAGGCCTGTGGTGAGTCTGTCAGCAGAGCCAACTCAGCTGAACCCCAGGTCCTCCACCTATGGCTACCCAGGTTCTGACTGTGGGACCCAGGGTAGGGCTTGATGGTTCTTCTTTCCCCCTAGATGAGTCAGTGCTGATGGATCTCAAGGCCCTGCTGCTAGAGGCTAAGCAGAAGGTGCCACCTGTACTACAAGTGCTGCACCCCGGGGACGAGTCCATGCTGGACATTGGAGGTGAATGCTGAGCAGGCGCAAGTTCTCTGGGGTTGGGGGCAGAACACCACAAAACAAATCCATACTAGATATTGGTGGACTAGGGGGACCTAATTGGGAGAGGGAAAAAGGTCCAGGGCCTGGATTCTGACCCTGTGACTTTGCTAACCCTGCCCCATCCCTCCAGGAGAACGTGGTTGTGCCTTCTGTGGGGGCCTGGGCCATCGGATCACTGACTGCCCCAAACTTGAGGCCATGCAGACCAAGCAGGTCAGCAACATTGGCCGCAAGGACTACCTGGCCCACAGCTCCATGGACTTCTGAGCCGTCTGTCTTCCCTTCTTTATCTCCAAGAGGCCTCAGTTCCAGGACTCAGCCACCCTGTGTGCACACAGACACCAGCCCCGTGGACAAGAAGCCAGCATCTTGGCCCAGCTGGCCTGGGCTGTTCCCTGTACCCCAGCCACCCCAAAATTACTATTTTTGTTCTCCTTCCCTTCAGCTGTCATTAAAGCACAAGCCCCCTCTCTCAGCCCCAGCCCTACCTCAGTGTCTCTGCCGTCAGTCCTCTGAATCCTGGACAGGCCTCGCCTTCCAGCCTCCAGCAGCCCTCCTACTCCCCCTCCCAGCACCTACCCTCATGTTGGCTATGGAAGGAAATGCCAGTCAGTGTCCCTCCTGGGTGCTCAGAGGTGTGAGGACCATGAATCACAGAGGGGCCAAGGGGAAATAGCTGAGCCTCTGGTCCCCCTGGCTGGCTGGCTTAACTGTCAGCCCCTCTCTTCCTGTCAATTTATGTTGCTCTGGGGGCTTCTGGAACCCCTTGGCAGGCTGCTTCCTGCCTTTGCCCCTCCCTGCCTGTGCGTATTCCCCGTCAGAAACACTTAGTTCCATTCACCAAGGAGGCAGCAGATACCACAGGACTGCCAATCAGGCCACAAGCACCCTATGGGGGCTGCAAGGACCCAGACAAGCCCGGCAGAAACCTGCCTGGAAAGCCCACAGGAAGGCAGGAGATTCATATGCAAGTAAAGGTCGGTCTCCATCATAAGACTGCCAGCAGATCAACCTGGATTTTCATATCTAGCAAGAGGAGGGCGGAAGAACAGTACAGCAGCGGCTGTGTATTGCATAGTTCCTCTGCCAGGAACTTCGTGAGCAAGGCCACATGCTTATCCCAGCAGGACAGTGCTTGCTCAACCCTGTTTGTTGCTTTGTGTGTGGCCTCCAACAAGTTACTTAATATTTTTGAGCCTTGATTTCATAATTTTTGAAATTGCGATGAGAACGCAAAGGATGTGGTGTTTGAGGCTCCTAAAGTTCAGGGCTATCTGGATCACAGTGGGCACAGAACCAGGTACTAGAAGGCCCTAGAAGATCTATTCTGGCCATATGTGACACCCAAAGAGCATTCTTCAGTTTGGTTACAGCATTCTTTCTGGAGGTTGCTTTGAATGACATGGGACTGTCCCTAGAATTCTGATGCACACACAACCCCAATACTAGTCTCCAGCAAGGCAAAGCAAAAATAAAAAGCCAGGCCCCTGACAGGAAGCAAAGCTTTAAAAGAGCATGTGACCTCCCTGGGGAGCCCACTGGGGGCCTACCCCCACACTCACATGGTTAGGGCCCGTTAGGGGTGTGGATCCCATGAGGACTGGCTGCCTGATAGGAGGGCTGCTGTGCTCTCAAGACTAGTGACCAGGCAAGGCCGCCAAGAGGAGGAGGCAGCCTACTGCCCCAAGCAGCACAGTGGTAAGGGGTTCCCTGGAGGGGTTGGTCTGTGGGGAAATGAGGCTCAGGGGAAGTGAAGGCCAGAACACACAAGCCCCTGAGTGCTGGGGAAGAGGAAAAGCAGAGTTGGTGTGGGTTGGTGGAGAGTCAGGTGGAGCAAGGGCTATGAAGATGGGGAGTCAATGAAAATTAAAAATATTCCAGACAGAAGTAGAGAGGACAGGGTGAGACAGTCTCAGGCAAACCTAATGGTACAAACCAGGACTTGGTGGAGGGCCAGGAGTTCACCAGTCTGGTGAGAAGGTCCCAGGCTAGGAGCAGACTGTGTAGCACCGGCCCGATGGGGGAAGCATTGGAGCTCATGACTCAGGGCCGCCAGGCTGTGGTCAGTTGCTCATACCCAGCTGACCCAAATGCCAATAGGGGTCACTTGCTCTCAGGTGGCCTGAGGCTCTCGAAGGCAGACATAGACACCTTGAGCTGGCCAGAACCCCTAAGAAGAAGAATGTACTGCCTCTCAATCCCTTAACTGAGGACGACTCCCCTCCCCCTCGCCCGCAGCTGTCTCTCCGGACCAAGGGAGGGGGAAGTGGCCAGAAGGGGAAGTGTGAGGAGTTCCCCTCCAGCCTTTCACCAGTCTCCTCAGGTCTTCGGAACAGAAGGCCTCGGGCCCAATCGTGGCCATGGAGCCCGTGGAGACTCCCATCAAGGATGGCGTTCTCTACCAGCAGCACATCAAGTTTGGCAAGGTGGGGACCTCTGGCTGCCAGATTGCTGCCCAGGACTAGCGGTAGGCAGAGAAAGGGGCCTCTGCCCCAGCCCCGGATAACCCACCTGGACCTGGGAAAACTGGGAAGGGAGTCAGGATGGAAGATGGAACCCAGAATTTCTTTTTCTTGCAGCATTAGGAATTGAGCCCAGAGGTACTCTGCCACTGAATTACACCCCTAGCCCTTTTTTATTTTATTTTTATTTTGAGATAGGGTCTCACTAAGTTTCAGAGGCTGGCCTCAGATTAACTATCCTCCTGCCTCAGCCTCCTGAGTCACTAGGATTACAGACATACCCTATGGTGTGTGGCTGGAACCCAGGAATTGGGGAGCAGAATAAAGTCCTGTTGTCTGCCTGAGAAGGTTGAGGTTGAACAGGCTTTTGAAACCCCGTTTTATTTTAGAGATGGAGTCACCAAGATGAGGGAAGGGTCTAAGAATCAAAACCTCTAGGCAAGGCAGAGCCAAGCAGCCTTCTGACCCATCTAATAGTGAACTGTTACCCATGGAAAGGGCCAGGGGCTGAGCTGAAGGAGCCCCTGGAGGTAGAGCCACGCCCTGCAGTCAGGGCTGGGCCCCAGCTCTGCGGAGGGCCTGGCCCTACACCCCACAACTCAGCTGCAGCTGCTGCTCAGGCAGATAAGTAGTCTGTTTCCTTTGTTAGAAGTTATTTGCATGTTTCCTTCCTAGCCATCATGAGGCTCAGGCCTCCCAGCTTCACCCCAATGTCTTTTTTCTCTTTCTTTGTGTGTATATGTGGGGGTGGGGGGTGACAGGTGGGCAACCAACATAACAGCAGTGTGCCCAAGACACTAGATACTCTATAGATAGAGAAGTCCAGTAGAAGACCAGCCTCACATTCTCACAGCCTCTTGAGAGACGAGGACACTGGGGCTATGGAGGTCAGAGGAAAGGGCATGGTGGATTTGAACCCAGGGCTGACTGAACCCAAATACAGACTTTTCCCCCTGCCTGGCCCAGCCCTGGCAAGGTCTCCTTCCCTAGCACCTGAAGACTTGTGGGAGGGAGAGGCGAGACTGGGTAGACAGGTGTAGTTGCTGAGTAGCTTGTGCTGAGCCGAGTGGTAGGAAGAATCTGCCACCTAAGAGTCTCTTCCCCAACCCTCTCTCCCACAGAAGTCCTGGCGGAAAGTGTGGGCTCTGCTGTATGCAGGAGGCCCATCAGGCGTGGCTCGGCTAGAGAGCTGGGACATTCGGGATGGTGGCTTGGGGCCAGCAGGGGACAGATCTGCAGGGCCTGGCCGGAGGGGGGAGAGGAGGATCATCCGCTTGGCTGACTGTGTGTCTGTGCTGCCCGCTGATGGTGAGAGTTGTCCCCGGGACACTGGTGCTTTCCTGCTCACTACCACTGAACGAAGCCACCTGCTGGCTGCACAACACCGCCAGTCCTGGATGAACCCCATCTGCCAGCTGGCCTTCCCGGTGAGTACAGGATGGGCGGGCGAGCGGGTAGGGCAGTCCAAAGGCCGGCTTGTGGGGAACCACATCACCCTGTGCTTGCTTATCTCCTTTCTCAGTTTACATCCTGTCACTCGATAAGCATTGCCAAGCAACTGCAAGGCTGGGAAACAGCCCAGAAACCCAGAGAAGGAAAATGAAATACTGGGATGGAAGTGGAATAAATGGAGGAACTTTAGGCAGAATGGTCAAGGAAGGCCTCTCTGAAGAGACAGTGGGCCTGATTCTTCAATAACAAATAAAAGCCCACCAGGCAAAGGCCAGAGGAAAGGCCAAGCAAATACAGTAACATGAGGAGTGTTGTGAATGAGGGGGCAGTATGGGCAAAGGTCCACGGGCAAGAAAAAGTGGTGTGTTCACCACAAAAGGGTCAGAGAGAAGACTGGTGTGGCTGAAGGTAGAGATCAGGAGGAGTGCAGGAGGTAGAGAGGTCGGAAAGCTCCCTGGGAGCCAGCTGAAGCCACTTTGGGCTATGTGTGGGATTTGGGATTTGTGTCTGAATCAGAGAAGCCTTTGGAGGGTTTAAGCCAGACACTGATGTTTGTAAAGATTAGCTTTTTCAACCGATCTTGATGGGCCAGAACAAAATGTCTGGTGATTCCTCAAAAAGTTAGTCATGATGCCAGGCAGAGTGACACATGCAGGAGGCTAAAGAATCTCAAGTTCAAGGCCAGCCTCAGCAGCTTATACCCTAAGCAACTTAGCAAGACAATCTCAAAATAAAAAATAAAAAGGACTGGAGATGTGGCTCAGTGGTTAAGCACCCCTGAGTTCAATTCCTGGTACCAAAAAAAAAAAGTCAGTCATGAAGTTATCATATGACACAGCAACTCTACTGCTCAATATATATCCAAGAGAACTGAAACAGCTATTCAAACAAAACTTACACATGGATGTTCTTGTCAGTATTATTCACAGTTGCCAAAAACAACCCAAATGGCCATTCCCTGATGAATGAATAAACAAAACATGTTCTATCCATATAATGGAATATTATTTAGCCATAAAAAATGAAGCTCTGATAACATGCTACAACAGGAATGAGAATTGAACACATTAAAGAAGCCAGACACAAAGACCACATATTGTATGATTCCATTTATACGAGAGGTCTAGACTAGGCCAATCTATGGTACAGAAAGTAGATTGAAAGAAAGAAATGGGGAGTGACTGCTAATGAGTAAAGGGTTTCCATTTGGGGTGATGAAAAAGTTCTGGAATTAGGTAGTGGTGATGGCTGCACAATCTTGTAAATATAATAAAAACCACTGCATTGTATGCTTTAAAATAGCTAAAATGGGAATTTTATATTCCATGTATTTTGTTACATTTTTACCTTTTTTAAAGGAACAGGATTAAACAGACAAGTGAGGAAGCAGTTGCATTTGACCCTGGCCATTCTCCCATGGGCCAAAGTGGTCATGGTGGAAGTGCCAAGAGTCAAAAAGAACATGAGGACCTGCTAAAGAACAGGATGTGGGATGAGGGATAGGAAGGGTCAACAGCCACTGGTTGGTTCAATCTTGTGTGCTGCCCCTGAGGCTCTTACTTGTCAAGCTATTAGAGACACCTACAAGCCAATCAAATCCAAGGCCAAGCTCAGGGGCTATGGGGGACATCCTCTTGTTTGCACAGTGATTTATAGCTGTCAGACACCTGTAAGCACAGCTCCCCCTTCCCCAGCTCAGCACCCTCAAGAGAGAGCCCAGTGGGGACTGCCACCTATCATACAGGTAGGGAAATAGCCTCAGAGGGGTATCTAGAGTCAGGCACAACTGGGACTATCACCTGGGGCCCCAGATGCCCTTACTTGTAGCAAAATCCAGGGGTGTGGACCCCTTGGGAGGGGTGGGGAAGAGAAGCAGGTAGACTCTAACCTCTGACTTGAGCCCACTCCCCAGGGCACAGGGGAGTGCTCCTCAGGACCAGGAGAAGCTGAGTCGCCCAAGAGGGGCCTCGTCCCCATGGAGGAAAATTCCATCTACTCTTCCTGGCAGGGAGGTGAGTCACGGGAGGCCCTGGGGCAACTTCAGCCCCTCCCACCCAGGATCTTTGGGGGACTGACAGGGTACCCTCCTGCCTGCCTACAGCGAGTGAGTTTCCAGTGGTGGTGCAGAGGACTGAGGCTGCTGTCCGCTGCCAGCTAAAGGGACCCTACCTCCTGGTGCTGGGCCAAGACACCATCCAGTTGAGGGGAACTGCCAGCCCCCAGGTCCTCTACAGCTGGCCCTACCACTTCCTGCGCAAGTTTGGCTCTGACAAGGTGAGGTGCTGGGTGGCTTCCCCACTTCCGCAGGTCCCTACAGGGAAGGGCTGTAGGTGGTCAGCAGGCTGACCCCTCAGCCCCTGACCCCTACCCATGTCCTTGTGTCTAGGGCGTGTTCTCCTTTGAGGCTGGCCGCCGCTGTGACTCAGGCGAGGGCCTCTTTGCCTTTAGCAGCCCACGTGCCCCTGACATGTGTGGGTCTGTGGCTGCTGCCATCGCCCGCCAACGGGAACTGCTGCCAGAACGGGCTGTTGCCAGGCCTTGCCCCCTGCCTCGCGCCACCTCCCTTCCCTCCTTGGACCCCCCTGGGGAGCTTCAGGAGGTGTCACCAGGGGCTGATCTGCCCACCTGCAGAAGGGCACCTTTGGTCGATCCCGGGCCCCAAAGCCTACCGTTACTACTGGGCCCTGCGCCTGAGGAGCCAGTGTCCGATCTCTACGCCTCGGTGTGCAAGCGTGCCAGTGGACCCCCAGCCACCATTGAGCACCTCTACGAGAACGTGTGCCTGCTGGAGGCCAGTCCTGGACTGCCCAATGGGGGCCCTGAGCTCCAAGAGAGCCTTTCTGGTGGCCACAGCCCTGTAGCCAGCCCCATCTATCACAATAGCGAGGACCTGAGCTGGTCCGGCCCCACCCACGATAGCAACCTTGAGGCTCAGTACCGGCGACTGCTAGAGCTGGAGCTTGATGAGGCAGGTGGCACCAGCCGCTCTGGCAGTCAGGTAGGCTTCAAGGCCAAGCTGGTGACACTGCTGGGTCGAGAGCGGAGGAAGGGTCCTACTCACTGTGACTGACCCTGAAGACCTGGGCAATGACGGCAGGATAGAGGTGCTCCTGGGACAGGAGGGTGGGCAAACTCCTGTCTACTCTGGCTTGCAGGAGCAAAGTAGGCAGCCTGGGAAGGATCCACACCCTGCCCTGTGTGTCCCCCAGTGTACAGTGTACAGATTAACCAATAAAGTGCCAGCTACCCCTCAGTTTTGCCTGTGGCCCACGCTCCATACCACCTCACTTCAGCCCCTGGCAGTGGCACTTGAGGGTCCCCATGAACATAAAGACCCTCACATTCATTGCACCAAACACCAATGTCCTGTCCTCCAGGGACACAAATGTCCTAGACCTGACTTCAGCTACCAGTGGGCTCAAATCCACTGAAGCAAATGGATGTGATGGCAATAGTTTGGGTTCCATTTGTGCAGTAGGAATGACATGAACAGTCAGGTGGAGGGAGACAGGAAGCTTGTTGAAGAGGGAGGTGCCCTCTGCCTTGAACTGGAGGGGCAGGCAGGGCCCACCAGGTGGATAGTGAGCCCAGGCCTTCCAAGCTGAGGACAGATATGCATGGGCCTGAGATGATGAGGAAGATGTGGACAAGAGGTACTTTGAGTGCCCTGTGGTGAGCTGGGTCTCATTATCAGGGGAGGGACATGGTCAGACTCAATGTGGAGACTGCACTTGAGGGGGCAAAATTGGAGACCAAGATGCCCAAGCTGGGAAGGAGGGAGTGGGGTTCAGAGGATAGTAAGGAGCAGATAGAAGGGATTTCAATGATATACACACCCAAACACTTGTTCCCTGCAGCAACAATATACAGATACTTCTGGGGGACTTCAGGCCTCAGTTTCCTCAACTGTAAAGGATCAAGACTAAATTAGGGGCTAGGTTTGAAGCTCAATGGTAAAGCACTTACCTAGCACATGTGAGGCACTGGGTTTGATCCTCAGCACCACATAAAAATAAATTTATAAAGGTATGTGTCCATCCATAACTAAAAACAATTCTATAAAAAAGATTAAAATACATGTGGGCCAGGGTATGGTTCAGTGGTAGAACTCTTGCCTAGCATGTGTAAAGCCCAGGGCCAACACTGGAAAAAAAAAATTACATATTAGACTTATTCATCAGAATTTTACTGTACCAGAACACTGTGGGACAAGGCCATGTTCACAGCTTTAGTCCTGTTCTCAAGGAGCCAACATTCCAGAGAGAGATAAGCACATTTCTAGAAGGCTTTAGTCCCTGCTTTCTCCTTCTCTCCTCTGCTGCTCCTGCTGACAACCTTGGGACCATCCATGCATACAATGTGATCCCAAGGATATGGCCTCTTTGTCCCTTGACTTCAATTCTATCTCAGCTGCCCTTGGCACATCTCGGATCTTGTCTTCAAACAGTAACACACTAATCTTATTTCCACCAAAAGAAAGATTTTTAAAAAGGTGTTGAATAAGCTGAAAAGCTGAGGGTGTCCAGGCCCTGGGTTCGATCCTCAGCACCACATAAAAATAAATAAAATAAAAGCATCCTCTTCTGGCCACTCCTCTCCCTCCTTCCAGCTAACTTCCTCTAGCATAGCCAATATTTCCTTTCCAGGCACAATGACCTACAGGGATTCTTTTCTCATGATCTGTAAGGTCCCTGTCTACCTTCTATCCTTGTCCCCTTTCAATTTCACCCGCAGAGTCATTTCTCACTCTCTTGTCTCCTTCCATCTTGTTTGACTGGCAAAGCCCCCAGCCTCAAGGGAACCCAACTTATTACTGTGCCTGTTCTCTGGCAGCTGCCCACAGTTGGAGAAATTCACATAAGCAGGCTGACTGCCTTGTGACACAATATTATTGCTGGTTCTCGAGGCTGCCCTCAGATCCTGTGTTGTACATAGACGGCTTTTCTCTTCCCTGAGACCTTCAATCCTTTCCTCTCCATTCCCTCTCATTTCCACTTCACAGATGAAGTGGGACAACAGCCATCAATAGAAGTGAACTTTCCACCACCTTCAGTCGTCCACCACTGCACCAGCAAAGGGGCCAGCGTCTGCATCCATCTTCTCCTGTTCCTACAGTGGAAGAAGTATCTGTCCCCAGCCATGTGCTCTGCCCCCAGCTTTTCTCAGTTTCTCAAAGGCTGGCACACCAAGATGTCACCTTTCTCTTCCGTTAAATTAGTCTCTCCCCCTTCCCACCTACTCTCTCTTTAGAGTTGGGGACTGAGCCCAGAGCCTCATACATTAGACAGTGACTCTATGACTGAGCTACACTCCCAGCTCCCCTTTCTCTTCTGGAGCCATCCATGATTAGATCATTATTGCCATCATCATCGTCGTCGTCATCATCATCACCATCATCATCATCTCCAGCCACATGCAAACATGGTGTATCATTTCATAACTTAAAAATAATCTTCCCTTGGGCTGGGGTTGTGGCTCAGTGGTGGAGTACTCGCCTGGCACGTCCGAGGTCCTGAGTTCAATCCTTAGCACCACATAAAAATAAATAAAATAAAGGTACTGTGTCCATCTACAACTAAAAAATAAATATTAAAAAAAGAAATCTTCCCTTGACCTCATATTCCCCTTTAGCCACCTCCCCATTTGCTCCTCCTCACAGTGAAACTCCTCAAAAGGGTTGTTGATTACTCTCATTTCCACTTTCTTACCTCCCATTCTCTCCTTAACTAACTACAATTTCCCTTTCTCCTCACCACTCCATTACACGGTTCCTACCACAGTTGCCAACCATCTTGCTCCCCAAAACAAAAGTACCCGGACTCTCTCAGCTTCTCAGCTTATTCAATAGCTTTTTTATTGTTCTTTTGGTGGTGGTGTTGGAGATTGAACCCAAGACTTCACACATACTAGGCAAGCACTCTACCACTGAGCTATATCCCTAGCTTAACACCCTTTCCTTTTTATTTATTTATTTTTATGTGGTGCTGAGAATGAAACCCAGTGCCTCCCACATGCTAGTCAAGTGCTCTATTGTTGAGCCACAACCCCAGCCCTTGACACCTTATTGAAACACCTTCTGTTCACTCAGTTTTTCTCCTCCTATCTCATGGTCTCTCCTTCCTAGCCTTTTTTTTTTTTTTTTTTTTTTTTTCAGTGCTGGGATCAAACCCAGGTCCCTGCACCATCTTGCACCCTGTTAGGCAACTCTCCACCACTAAGCTATGTAGCTGATCTCTTTGTTCTCCTCTTTGTTAGAGTTCTTCCCCAGGGGGTCTGGCCTCAGACAAGGTGTAGCTCAAGTTTGGCTACACATGTCATCACCTGGAAACCTTTGAAAAATTCCTACATTCATCCCCAGGGGCTCTGACTTCATCAGTCTGGCAACATGGGATCTAGGCTTCAGTATTTGGCTTTTCAATTTCTGGGTGATTGTGGTATGAATCCTAGGTCAACAACCACTATCCTGAGTCAGTAAATCATGCATAGATTTCATATACATGAAATGTAGATTTCATATTTTAAGCCACCTAAGTGCAGATTACTCCCAAAGATATATCTTCAGTACACACCCCTGAGCTCCAGATTTAAGAATCTAATTGCACATTAGATATCTGGATGTTTAAAAGTCATCTTCAGAGCTAGGGTAGAACACTTGCCTACCATGTATAAGAATCTGGGTTCTATTCCCAGCACTGCCAAAATACAAAAGGCATTTCCAAATTTAATGTGTGAAGGGAAGTTTGGGGAAGGGGTCTGCATGCAGTGCTGCCCCAGGGTGGATTTAACCACAGAGGGTAGAGCCCAGGAGGATGTTGGAGCCAGGTGTAGGCAGATCTAGCGTCACTTATGGAAAAATTCCTGACAGGTAAAGGCTTCACATGATTGAGCAGGCTGCCATGGAGCAAGGTGAGGCCAAGAGTTGTGGCAATATCAGGGACCCCTCCTTTCAGTGACAAATCCAGGGCTGGGGCTGGGGCTCAGCAGTAACACACTTTTCTGGCATGTACGAGGCACTGGGTTCGATTCTCAGCACCACGTATAAATAAAAAAAATAAAGATCTATCAACAATTAAAAATAAAAAATAAAATCTAAGTCCAGGACTTGGCAGCTTAGAAAATCCCAGGATAGTTGGGCATGGTGGCACATACCCATAATCCCAACAACTCAGGAGAGACTCTGTCCCCACTCAAATAAAAATAAAAAGGGTCGGGATATAGCACAGTGGTAGAGCATCCCTGGGCTCAATCCCCAGTACTACCAAAAAAAGAAGAGAGGAGGAGGAGGAGGAGGAGGAGGAGGAGGAGGAGGAGGAGGAGGAGGAGGAGGAGGAGGAGGAGGAGGAGAAAATCCTAGAACACACGAGTTACCCAGAAAAGGTCATGACCACAACTGGAACTCAGGACTCTGACCACAACTGGAACTCAGGACTCTGGGTCTCCAGTCTGGCATCCTTTCCCTCATTACAAATCTAAGCCTCTTTGTTACTTGGCAATTTCTGTGATTTTCAAACCAGACTTAGGAAAAGTCCTTGGAAACCTCCAGGATTCTAGAAGCCTTGTCTTGGAGTTGCAGCTCTTCCCAGCAGGGGGCACTGTGTCCTAGTCCAGCTCCTGTTCCTACTCAAGGGCTGCCTGTGCTGGGAAGGATATGCGACTTCATCCAGGCCTGAACCTTGGAAGAGACCTCAAGGGTCCTGACCCAAGGAAGAGACCTCAGGGTCCTCTCTGCTGTAAGACTTCCAGGAACCACCACCCAGGCTGCCACTTCTTCCTTGCTCATTTGCTGTTTCACTTTTGCAATCCTTCTTTCCTTCTTTTATCTGTTCATTCACATTCACCATGTATAGGCAATAGGGAAATGCTGGTGAACGAGAGACAAATCTCTGCTCCCATGGGATTGACATTCTAATGGGAATAAAGGATGATAAACAATATCATGTGAGAGGGTGGAAAGTGCTATGCAAAAAAATAAATCTGTGTAAAAAAAAATTAGGGAAGGTCCCTTAAAGGCGGAAATATCTGAGCAGAGCACAGTGGAAAAGACTGTTGTTTACACATTTGGAGAAAAGTATTTAAGCAGAGGGAACAGTAAGTGCAAA